TTGTATCACACAGACAGGCAGTAGTATCAGTCAGACAAGAAACGGGGTGAGTAGCATCACACAGCACAGGCAGTAGTATCACACAGACAGGCAGTAGTATCACACAGACAGGTAGTAGTATCATACAGACAGGCAGCTGGGTCAGTAGTATCACACAGACAGGCAGTAGTATCACACAGACAGGCAGTAGTATCACACAGACAGGTAGTAGTATCACACAGACAGGCAGCCGGGTCAGTAGTATCACACAGACAGGCAGTAGTATCACACAGACAGGCAGTAGTATCACACAGACAGGCAGTAGTATCACACAGACAGGCAGCCGGATCAGTAGTATCACACAGACAGGCAGCCGGTTCAGTAGTATCACACAGACAGGCAGTATTATCACACAGACAGGCAGCCGGGTCAGTAGTATCACACAGACAGGCAGTAGTATCACACAAACAGGCAGCCGGGTCAGTAGTATCACACAGACAGGCAGTAGTATCACACAGACAGGCAGTAGTATCACACAGAGAGGCAGCCGGGTCAGTAGTATCACACAGACAGGCAGTAACATCACACAGACAGGCAGCCGGGTCAGTAGTATCACACAGACAGGCAGTAGTATCACACAGAGAGGCAGCCGGGTCAGTAGTATCACACAGACAGGCAGTAGTATCACACAGACAGGCAGCCGGGTCAGTAGTATCACACAGACAGGCAGTAGTATCACACAGACAGGCAGCCGGGTCAGTAGTATCACACAGACAGGCAGTAGTATCACACAGACAGGCAGCCGGGTCAGTAGTATCACACAGACAGGCAGTGTGGTCAGCATTATCACACAGACAGGCAGTAGTATCACACAGACAGGCAGCCGGGTCAGTAGTATCACACAGACAGGCAGTGTGGTCAGCAGTATCACACAGACAGGCAGTAGTATCACACAGACAGGCAGCCGGGTCAGTAGTATCACACAGACAGGCAGTGTGGTCAGCAGTATCACACAGACAGGCAGTAGTATCACACAGACAGAAAATAGTATCACACAGACAGACAGTAGTGTGACACAGACAGGCATACAGATTTGGCGCGGCTTTCCATTCCCTTTCTCTACGAAAAGTAGCACCTAAGATTCACATTGGTAATCTTGCCAGGCGATGGTCCGTGCAAATATTGAGAAGCTCTCTTGCTTCTCATAAGAAGTATCCATAGAAAATCGATTGAATTTGACGATTTCGACTGTACCATGAACATGTTGTCATTAATTACTATCAAAAAGTCCCCGGAAAAAAGCCCCCTTTTCATTTTGTGACAAGAAATGTACAGAAAAACACTGCTTTTTTATTTTTGATTGAGGCCTACTGATACTGAGATTTATGAAGTCGGCTGCTCACTGCAACTACATAAACTCGGGGATGGACTTCCTTCCAGCGGCTATGTCACTGCACAGTTTGGGCAGACTTTTGTGCATCTTGAGGAAGACAGTTTTTGTTTTCCTCACATGGACATTTCCAATGGCGCCCTGGGCAACTACAGTCCTACTTGGTACTAATATTGTAGGATACAACGATGCATATATTTATATATTTATTATAATATGTATTTACTGGTAACTAGCTCTGGGTGAGATGTTTACACACTGAAACACTTACAACTGTTTTTAGATGTCGTTGAAAAGATCAAACAACAATTTAAAAATTTAATCTGTCATTACATTGTGATTTCTTCCTGTTTTTTTTAAGCAGTCTTGTCAAATAAATACAACTTAATCAGTTTTACTACAAAAGGACTTTTTAACCGAGGACTTCTTTACTGGTACTTTTTGACCGAAGACTTTTTGCCAACAACCAGTGATGATACTTGGTGTTGTAAACATATCTTTGTTAAACGTCAGTTATTTACCTGAATCAATAAACATAAAAAGAAAAATAAATGAAAAAACCCCAACAAAACCTAAAGCAAACCAACACGGAAAATATCATGCAAGTCAAAATGTGGAATTTGAAAATGTTCTGCAGATATACCTTGAAACATTTTAATATTTTTCAAACTCTGCACGTTTAACCCTGATCAAAGAACTTTGTCGTCAGAATTGTTGTAAAAGGATCTGTTCAAAGCGTCTGCAATAATGCTCTACGGAAAACATATCGCCTCGCATGTGAGAGAACACTAACCACCTGGGTCATACAAAATGGTAGGATTCTCTCCATTTTAACTCGAATCAAATGATCTTTATTCTAATATGTGAATATGATCTTGAATACATCAAGGACATCGTAGCCAGAAGTTGTATTCATTTCGCTCACCCAGTGATATGTACAATGAAAAGTTAATTATGCTGACATTATTTTCAGCCTTCTTCTCCTGACAGTCACGCTAATATTGCCACCCCCACTTCTAACAAGAAACAGACTGTTGTTGAAAGAAGGTTCAGTTTTGCCTGTGTTTTCAGGTGTCGCTTTCTGTAAGCAATGAAAACACAACCTAAGTACATCACTGGAACTTAAATGTCTTTATGAGCATAACATAAATCACTGCAAACGATTTAATGAGAAAGTGGAATCTAAAGAGCAGATATTGATAGAAGTAACGCGACGTATGGAAGGTATGTTTACTCTGCCGATATCTCCAAGTGGTCACGTGATATCCACTTAATAAAACACAAGTCTCCTACACGCCGAATCTTACCAACCACTGCTCACAAAAAACATAATAAATACTGCGCGGTAATCCAGCTTATCAGTGAAAGTAAACACTGTTATATTACATATACACATTAAATACTAGAGCAGCAAGCGCATGTGTATGTGCAGCACATATAAATACTTACGGGGACATGTCATGATTTGCAACAGAAAAGTTTGGATTGAATTATGTGCTGATTGACAAAATAAGAAATGTTCAGCATGTTGGGGATTCGATGTTGGAGAAAGAAAAGTTTAAAGATGACTCTTATTCTTACTCTGTAAATAACAGTGAGTCGTGGATAATCACCATGTTGCCGATGGTTATTCAAATATACATGAAAAAACAAAACAAAATTACGATTGACATATTCACCCACAGGAGAAAATATAAAGGGTCAGTACACATATTTTAGAGGATTAGAAAAGGCTTATACAGTGAGGTGTTATTTGTCCATATGTAGCTGATTCTTAATGTCGGTTCTAGACGGCAATCAAGCAGAGTAGCGACTTCTCAACAGCTATGTTGGGTGAAGTCCGCTGTAGTAATGTCTTCACAGCCACGGCCATTTAATCAGCCAGGGTAGTGACTACTTAACTACTGTGTAGGATGAAATCTGGCAGGGTTATGTCTTTACAGCCACTGTGTAGGATGCAATCTGGCAGAGTTCTGTCTTTACAGCTACTGTGTAGGATGCAATCTGGCAGGGTTCTGTCTTTACAGCTACTGTGTAGGATGCAATCTGGCAGGGTTATGTCTTTACAGCTACTGTGTAGGATGCAATCTGGTAGTGTTCTGTCTTTACAGCTACTGTGTAGGATGCAATCTGGTAGGGTTATGGCTTCACGGCTATTGTGTAGGATGCAATCTGGCAGGGTTATGGCTTTACAGCTACTGTGTAGGATGCAATCTGGCAGAGTTCTGTCTTTACAGCTGCTGTGTAGGATGCAATCTGGCAGGGTTATGGCTTTACAGCTGCTGTGTAGGATGCAATCTGGTAGTGTTCTGTCTTTACAGCTACTGTGTAGGATGCAATCTGGTAGGGTTATGGCTTCACGGCTATTGTGTAGGATGCAATCTGGAAGGGTTATGGCTTTACAGCTACTGTGTAGGGTGCAATCTGGCAGGGTTATGTCTTTACAGCTACTGTGTAGGATGCAATCTGGCAGAGTTCAGTCTTTACAGCTACTGTGTAGGATGCAATCTGGTAGGGTTATGGCTTTACAGCTACTGTGTAGGATGCAATCTGGCAGGGTTATGTCTTTACAGCTACTGTGTAGGATGCAATCTGGCAGGGTTATGTCTTTACAGCTACTGTGTAGGATGCAATCTGGCAGAGTTCTGTCTTTACAGCTACTGTGTAGGATGCAATCTGGTAGGGTTATGTCTTTACAGCTACTGTGTAGGATGCAATCTGGCAGGGTTATGTCTTTACAGCTGCTGTGTAGGATGCAATCTGGCAGGGTTATGTCTTTACAGCTACTGTGTAGGATGCAATCTGGCAGAGTTCTGTCTTTACAGCTACTGTGTAGGATGCAATCTGGCAGGGTTATGTCTTTACAGCTACTGTGTAGGATGCAATCTGGCAGAGTTGTAGGATGTCTTTACAGCTACTGTGTAGGATGCAATCTGGCAGGGTTTTGGCTTCACGGCTGCTGTGTAGGATGAAATCTGGCAGGGTTCTGTCTTTACAGCTACTGTGTAGGATGCAATCTGGCAGGGTTATGTCTTTACAGCTGCTGTGTAGGATGCAATCTGGCAGGGTTATGTCTTTACAGCTACTGTGTAGGATGCAATCTGGCAGGGTTATGTCTTTACAGCTGCTGTGTAGGATGCAATGTGGCAGGGTTATGTCTTTACAGCTACTGTGTAGGATGCAATCTGGCAGGGTTATGGCGTCTCGGCGTCACGGCTACCTACTCTATAGGATGCAATCTGGCAGGGTTATGGCTTAACAGCTACTGTGTAGGATACAATCTGGCAGGGTTATGGCGTCACGGCGTCACGGCTACCTACCTACTCTGTACCTACCCATGAGGTTGCAATACTTGAGGGACAAGGCCTTATAAATGCACCCGACTGTAAGTAATGAAATTGCGAGCAGACGTATCTATTTCTGTATTGTTTCAAGCTTATTTTGTTAGGGGCGAGTGCTGAAATTCACCTTTCTCTCTGAAAGCCATTTTGATTTTGAAATGCTATTTGTCACCACAATCTTCCTCTTGATCACCTTGTTGTTTCTGTATCAGAGAAAAGGAACAAATAAAATACTTGTAATAAAAGAACTTTGTATGTCCAACAGACTAATGCATGTTTGTGTTTTACAGATGACAAATGAAAAGGGAAAGGAGACTCCTCCAAGCTACACAGAAGCTATGGAACTCCCTGAGAAAAGTGCTGAGAAGCAAGACCCGGCCGAAATGCTCACTTTAAAATTTACCAAAATGAAAGTCATTAAAAATCTGCTGGTTGTGAGCGTGGGATTCCTTTTCCTGTTTACAGCCTTCCAGTCCATGTCTAACCTCCAAACTAGCCTCAACATGAGGAGCGGGGTGGGATCGGGCAGTCTCTCCATCTTGTATGGCGCGTTAGTAGTATCGTGTCTATTTGTTCCACCTTTCTTGATCGCACATCTTGGTTGCAAGTGGACCATACCACTCTCAATGCTGGGTTACATCCTGTACATGTGCGCCAACTTCTACCCCGTGTGGGGTACCATGGCGCCTGCTGCTGTTATCCTGGGGTTTGGAGCTGCACCATTGTGGTCCGCTAAATGCACTTATCTCACACAAACTGGAGTTTGGTATGCTAAAATGACTGGAAAAACAGAAGATGCCGTCATCAATGCTTTCTTTGGTGTTTTCTTCATGATTTTTCAAACAAGTGAGTAACTCTTGTCTTCAACCGAGAGAGAGAGAGAGAGAGAGAGAGAGAGAGAGAGAGAGAGAGAGAGAGAGAGAGAGAGAGAGAGAGAGAGAGAGAGAGAGAGAGAGAGAGAGAGAGAGAGAGAGAGAGAGAGAGAGAGAGAGAGAGAGAGAGAGAGAGAGAGTAGATTTGCCAAACTTGTTTCATGGTGATGGCGATGGTAAGGTAGTCATGTTGTCCTGTTGGAAGCTCAGTAGCACTCCGATCTCTGGATGTCCTTTACCTTGTCATCTTGTAACACTAAATGAAGTCCATGTGGGCGTGCAACTGGCTCCACGTGTGTCTCCAGGATGTTGTCACGGTGGTACAGCTCAGTGAATTGGCACGGTGGTACGGCCCAGTGACACATCCGTGAATGACATATAATGGTGTTCTGCCCGTTCAGGTCGTTCGGTCTGACGTTTACGCCACTTTCTGTTGCGGCTGTCAAGGTAGTCAAAATAAACCTTGATTCACTCGAAAACGACGATTGGGTCAGCGCTCTTGACAATGATAACACGTGGACGTAGGGCATGCAAGGCATAATCCAAGTATCATCTGCATAATCCATAACGATCGTCGGTCCAGTCACTCATACACATGTAGCTCTGCGAAGTTCGTCTTCAGTTTGAGAAGTACTGTGACTAAAATTTCGTAACACAGTCGACTTGATGAAATTTAAACTGTCTTGTGTGTCAACTTTGTCGACCAGGTCGAAGTCTGGCATCAACATCATTTGTCAGTCGATATCCTGAATGTAATTACTGACTCTGTGTTTTCGTGTGTGTTTGTATATTTGTGTGTGTTTTTATGTGTGTGTTTGCGTGTGTGTTTGTGTTTGTATGTTTGTATGTTTGTGTGTTTGTGTGTTTTTGAAACGGGTCAGGTAAGGACTGCAATGGAGGATTTAAGAGACGGAATGGAGGATTTAAGAGACGGAATTCTTAGCTAGAAAAATAACTTTTAAGAAAACTATTTGAAGATAGTGGATTAGACAGAGACTGATACCCCGAGGGATGTTGTGGATTGGGAGTAGGGCAGCCTGATCAATATGTGGAGTTGTTTCGTCCGAGGTGACAGAGTACAAGAGTAGATCTACATTCCGTACAAGTCACACCAGTGTTGTGATGCTGGGTCGCGCTTGTTTCCAGGGTCGTATGGATCCCTTCCCGCCACTGACTGGACAAATCTTTGACAAGGACATTCTTACGCGGTTAGCACGTAATGTACACAGAAATGTGCACTTGAAGTCAACACAAAGGGGATTTAGAGTAAAGACAATATCTCTGAAACCGGTCTCGTCACACTTGCCGGCTTCTTGCAGGGATGTAGTATTTACATACGCACACGCTGAAACATCGTTAATCTCATGTATTGCAACCACTGATTGGCCTCCACATATCATCATACACCGTGTCAAACACATCAGACAAAACGAAAAGATGAGGATAGTTTCTTGCACAGCGTGTGCTACATTTCACTCGTTTATATACTTCAATACTCAGAGCTTCACGGCCCTAAGTAAACGTGATAAGGTAACAATGCTTCGGTTAAAGCCAATGGTTAATTGGTGCCAAGAACAATAGAAAAATAGAAGCCAGGGATAAACCAAGGCGTAAATGGTACTGATAAGAGATAAGCATTTATATGTATTTAATCTCCGGTTGTCATAGACAGCAATGTAGTTGATGAGTCGGACATTCTGCAGTAATTGCTAATCGATGAAGTTGATGAGTCGGACATTCTGCAGTAATTGCTAATCGATGAAGTTGATGAGTCGGACATTCTGCAGTAATTGATAATCGATGAAGTTGATGAGTCGGACATTCTGCAGTAATTGCTAATCGATGAAGTTGATGAGTCGGACATTCTGCAGTAATTGATAAGCGATGTAGTTGATGAGTCGGACATTCTGCAGTAATTGATAATCGATGTATTTGATGAGTCGGACATTCTGCAGTAATTGATAAGCGATGTAGTTGATGAGTTGGACATTCTGCAGTAATTGATAAGCGATGTAGTTGATGAGTCGGAGATTGTGCAGTAATTGATAATCGATGTAGTTGATGAGTCGGACATTCTGCAGTAATTGATAATCGATGTAAGTGATCAGTCGGACATTGTGCAGTAATTGATAAGCGATGAAGTTGATCAGTCGGACATTGTGCAGTAATTGCTAATCGCTGAAGTTGATGAGTCGGACATTCTGCAGTTACTAATAAGCGATGTAGTTGATGAGTCGGACATTGTGCAGTAATTGATAAGCGATGTATTTGATGAGTCGGACATTGTGCAGTAATTGATAAGCGATGTAGTTGATGAGTCGGACATTCTGCAGTAATTGATAAGCGATGAAGTTGATGTGTCGGACATTCTGCAGTAATTGCTAATCGATGTAGTTGATGAGTCGGACATTCTGCAGTAATTGCTAATCGATGAAGTTGATCAGTCGGACATTCTGCAGTAATTAAAAAGCGATGATGTTGATGAGTCAGACATTCTGCAGTAATTGATAAGCGATGAAGTTGATGAGTCGGACATTCTGCAGTAATTGATAAGCGATGTAGTTGATGAGTCGGACATTCTGCAGTAATTTATAAGTGCTGTAGTTGATGAGTCGGACATTCTGCAGTAATTGCTAATCGATGTAGTTAATGAGTCGGACATTCTGCAGTAATTGATAATCGATATAGTTGATGAGTCGGACATTCTGCAGTAATTGCTAATCGATGTAGTATGATGAGTCGGACATTCTGCAGTAATTGATAATCGATGTAGTTGATGAGTCGGACATTCTGCAGTAATTGATAAGCGATGTAGTTGATGAGTCGGATATTGTGCAGTAATTGATAAGCGATGTAGTTGATCAGTCGGACATTCTGCAGTAATTGATAAGTGCTGTAGTTGATGAGTCGGACATTCTGCAGTAATTGCTAATCGATGTAGTTGATGAGTCGGACATTCTGCAGTAATTGCTAATCGATGTAGTTGATGAGTCGGACATTCTGCAGTAATTGATAAGCGATGTAGTTTATGAGTCAGACATTCTGCAGTAATTGATAAGCGATGTAGTTGATGAGTCGGACATTGTGCAGTAATTGATAATCGATGTAGTTGATGAGTCGGACATTGTGCAGTAATTGATAATCGATGTAGTTGATCAGTCGGACATTGTGCAGTAATTGCTAATCGATGTAGTCGATCAGTCGGACATTGTGCAGTAATTGATAATCGATGTAGTTTATGAGTCGGACATTCTGCAGTAATTGCTAATCGATGTAGTTGCTCAGTCGGACATTGTGCAGTAATTGCTAATCGATGTAGTTGATGAGTCGGACATTGTGCAGTAATTGATAAGCGATGAAGTTGATGAGACGGACATTGTGCAGTAATTGATAATCGATGTAGTTGATCAGTCGGACATTCTGCAGTAATTGATAATCGATGTAGTTGATGAGTCGGACATTCTGCAGTAATTGCTAATCGATGAAGTTGATGAGTCGGACATTCTGCAGTAAATGCTAATCGATGTAGTTGATGAGTCGGACATTCTGCAGTAATTGATAAGCGATGTAGTTGATGAGTCGGACATTCTGCAGTAATTGATAAGCGATGTAGTTGATCAGTCGGACATTGTGCAGTAATTGATAATCGCTGAAGTTGATGACTCGGACATTGTGCAGTAATTGATAATCGATGAAGTTGATGAGTTGGACATTGTGCAGTAATTGATAATCGATGTAGTTGATGAGTCGGACATTGTGCAGTAATTGCTAATCGATGTAGTTGATGAGTCGGACATTGTGCAGTAATTGCTAATCGATGTAGTTGATGAGTCGGACATTCTGCAGTAATTGCTAATCGATGAAGTTGATGAGTCGGACATTCTGCAGTAATTGATAAGCGATGTAGTTGATGAGTCGGACATTCTGCAGTAATTGATAATCGATGTAGTTGATGAGTCGGACATTCTGCAGTAATTGATAATCGATGTAGTTGATGAGTTGGACATTCTGCAGTAATTGATAAGCGATGTAGTTGATGAGTCGGACATTGTGCAGTAATTGATAAGCGATGTAGTTGATGAGTCGGACATTCTGCAGTAATTGATAAGCGATGTAGTTGATGAGTCGGACATTCTGCAGTAATTGATAAGCGATGTAGCTGATGAGTCGGACATTCTGCAGTAATTGCTAATCGATGTAGTTGATGTGTCAGACATTCTGCAGTAATTGATAAGCGATGTAGTTAATGAGTCAGACATTCTGCAGTAATTGCTAATCGATGAAGTTGATCAGTCGGACATTCTGCAGTAATTGATAAGCGATGTAGTTGATGAGTCGGACATTCTGCAGTAATTGATAAGCGATGTAGTTGATGAGTCGGACATTCTACAGTGATTGATAAGCGATGTAGTTGATCAGTCGGACATTCTGCAGTAATTGCTAATCGATGAAGTTGATGAGTCGGACATTCTGCAGTAATTGATAAGCGATGTATTTGATGAGTCGGACATTCTGCAGTAATTGATAAGAGATATATGTAGTTGTTTGTCGGACATAGTAATGCAGATTGTAATAAAACAAATAACTTACAATTGGGGACAGTCTGCACTTATTGATAAGGAAAAGTGAATGAAGACACTGCATGCAGTGAATGATGGAAGTAGTTATCAACTGGAACTGTCTTCAGTAAGAATACAAGTATTTGTCATTAGAGGCTATCTGCAGTTTACAATGAGATCAATGATTGAGATTGTGCTCAAATACTCATAAAAAGGTGGATGTATATCCGAGGCAATCTGCAGTTACCGATAAGAATATAAGTTGATGATAGGAGACTGCCTGTGGTTAGCGATTCATGTAAAACAAGTGATACTAAGCACTGGATAAAGTATATACATTGAACTATCTCCTTTGTTCACCACACCAGATTCAAACTTCCAGGCAAAAAGACATTGGGGAGTATCTTCGATCATTGATAAAAGACACTGTTGATCATTTGGGACTGTCTGTGGTTAGTGGTAAACGAATTGGTTGATCATTTAGGACTGTCTGTGGTTAGTGATAAACGAATTGGTTGATCATTTAGGACTGTCTGTGGTTCGTGATGAAAGAAGTGGTTGATCATTTGGGATTGTCTGCAGTAACTGAAAAAGACGTAATGATCATCGGAGACTGTGGTTAGTGATGAAAGAAGTGGTTCATCTAGAACATCATTTTCTTAATTTACATTTGTAAATTTATTTATTTTAGATTTAACTGTATGAAAAGGTCCTAAGCAACAGAATATGTTATAGTTAATGTTGAACCTTAGTTGATATTATCGCTGAAATGTGGAAAGACGTTTCAATGTTGAACATTTGCCAGAACGTTGAAACCGTCAATAAAGGTCATGTTATGGAAAGGGCCATATAGTTCCTGAATACTGACGTCCACTCCTGGTATACATACTGACATACAGTGCCCCCTCTACCATGTTTTTCGTAAATGAAAAAGTGGTGCTTATAAATTGAGCTAAATTATCAAAATTGAGTCAGGAAACCGATGGTATTTATTATGAAGGAAAACGCAATTCAATAATCTCGTTTGTGGTTTCCGGTGTGTTTTGTTGTACATTCTGTAGTTTGAAAAACACTAGTGTGTAGAAGCATGGTTTAGCCATGGTTACAGCCAAATCTATATATGATACAGTCCTACAATGCTCACGTACACTTCTGTGTCTACATCGCATACTGGCAAATAATGATCCCACTGCCCTGTCTGCGTGTCAACCGCCTTTAGAATCTGTTTGTCAAGCTATTTAAGAGCACCACAAATACTTGCCCTTTCAGCGGGGTGCTCCCGAGCACACACATTTCCAAGTGAACATTGTCATGTTTCGCGGGAATGCCTTTGTAATTTAAGTGTTAGTGTCAGAGTTTAACTGTTGATGTCATAGTTTATACTATTCCATGACCCGCAAATTCTTTACGCTTCCGCGAACATTTTAAACGTAGATGTCCTACAAAGTTGAAGTTTCAAAGGAGCCTTTTTAACCTTTAAGAATAGTGTAAGAATAATTTCAGGAAAATATTCATGTCTGTAGATGAACAGCAGCCTAATTAAGCAGTCTGAGGTCTGTAGGATAAGAATACACAATCCTAATCATATTGTGAATTACATAAATATGCGTTGAAATATACATTGTATATTCCAACGAGGAAGAGTCCTCTGGATTTCTATTAGTACTTTAATCGTTTCAAAAACATTTAAACAACGTATATTTGGTTGTCCGTGACTGATGGACCATAGACAATCAATGTGTTGAAGATTAGATTGCAGTACATGCTGTAAACGATGAATCTGCCTGGAAGATAGAGGAACATCACCAATGTAATACTGTGCACTTTGTTTGCAGGTCAGGTGTGGGGCAACCTTATTTCATCCACGATCTTCAAGAAAGAATCAACAGAATCAAACACTACAAACACTACAAACACTGGACAGGAGTGCGGGGCAAACTTCTGCCCGCAAAGCATCAACTTCACCGACAATACCAACCTGGATAGACCAGTGGAGGACAAGGTAGGGGGCAGTTGTTGCCTTGAACAGTCTGAACATATTCCCAGCCTACATATACCCTGTACGTAAAAACGGGGTTCAAACGAACTTTCCCACCTTAATGCATATTTGAAAACCACACCATTTGCTAAAGATGTAAGGGAATACCTGGAATGTCGTGGAGATTGTACGCCATAGCCCCCAACGTGGTCCAACTCGGGACAGCTCTTAAAACTGAATGGCAGGAAATACCAAGGGAATTAAGTTTATCAACAGTATGAGACTAGGATGTCGTGCACGTATTGCCCAACATGGTAGACATATCAGATATTGATGTAAAAATCCGGAATTAATTTTACATTTATCCTCTTTGCACCTTCACTGTCTTTCCCTAAATTCCGTCTTTGTTCGTAATAGTGTCTCCACAAACAGAATTTTAAAAGCAATCTACACAAAATATGAACAAGAAGGCGAAGGCATATGTCTGGCTGACTTTGTTACTTTCTGCAAAAGAACATGAAAAGGGACAGAGGACATAGATGGAAACTATTTGACAAAGGGCGAAGTGAAACGCGATCATTTACAATAATTCGACCGAGAGATTGATATTATAAGAGCGCTTCACAGAGGCTGCGCTGCCACGAACCTGCCATTCCCATGACAATGCTCCCCAGAACTGTCCTGTAGTACCCATACTCTACACGCGCACACGCAAATACACCTTCGAGAAAAAAGAACTTATAGTTCAATGAAACATACTAGGGTTTGGGTAGATAGTAGACAACGGATAGGTACAACAGTTAATACAAGTTCGTGAAATTTAACATTATTCGCCAAACAAGAGATGCTCATGGGTTAAACATCATTCGTAATATTCATCAATGAATAAATAGTCCAGACATTAACTGTAAGTGGACGTTTATCAACAGAAAAGACAGAAAGGAACTACCTTCCCACCAACATAGGGGGACTATCCCTCCTGCTAACAGACATGACTTAGATACAGCCGGTGCGGAATAAACACAAGGGCTGGTGAATTATTACAGGCGATTTAAGGTTTGGTGTCATATTGCAGGTGTTGCACGAGTTGATGTTATAGTGCAGGTGTTGCACGATTTGATGTTATAGTGCAGGTGTTGCACGAGTTGATGTTATGCTGCAGGTGTTGTACGAGTTGGTGTTATAATGCAGGTGTTGTACGAGTTGATGTTATAATGCAGGTGTTGCACGAGTTGATGCCTTAGTGCATGTGTTGCACGAGTTGATGTTATAGTGCATGTGTTGTACGAGTTGATGTTATAATGCAGGTGTTGCACGAGATGATGCTATGATGTAGGTGTTGTGCGGGTTGATGGTATGTTGCAGGTGTTGTACGAGTTGATGTTATGCTGCAGGTGTTGTATGAGTTGATGTTATGCTGCAGGTGTTGCACGACTTGATGTTATAATGCAGGTGTTGTACAAGTTGATGGTATGCTGCAGGTGTTGTACGAGTTGATGTTATAATGCAGGTGTTGCACGACTTGATGTTATGCTGCAGGCGTTGTATGTGTTGATGTTATGCTGCAGGTGTTGTACGAGTTGATGTTATGCTGCAGGTGTTGTACAAGTTGATGGTATGCTGCAGGTGTTGTACGAGTTGATGTTATAGTGCAGGTGTTGTACGAGTTGATGCCTTAGAGCATGTGTTGCACGAGTTGATGTTATCGTGCATGTGTTGTACGAGTTGATGTTATAATGCAGGTGTTGCACGAGATGATGCTATAATGCAGGTGTTGTACGAGTTGATAGTATGCTGCAGGTGTTGTACGAGTTGGTGTTATAATGCAGGTGTTGCACGAGTTGATGGTATGCTGCAGGCGTTGTATGTGTTGATGTTATGCTGCAGGTGTTGTACGAGTTGATGTTATAGTGCAGGTGTTGCACGAGTTGATGCCTTAGTGCATGTGTTGCACGAGTTGGTGTTATAATGAATGTTTTGTATAAGATCATGTTATGGTGCTGGTGCTGTACGAGTTGATGTTATGCTACAGGTGTTGTACGAGTTGATGTTATAATGCAGGTGTTTCACGAGATGATGTAATAATCCAGATGTGGTTCGAGTTGATGTTATGCTGCAGGCGTTGCACGAGTTGATGTTATAATGCAGGTGTTGTACGAGTTGATGTTATGCTGCAGGTGTTGTATGAGTTGATGTTATAGTGCAGGTGTTGCACGAGTTGATGCCTTAGTGCATGTGTTGCACGAGTTGATGTCATAGTGCATGTGTTGTTCGAGTTGATGTTATAATGCAGGTGTTGCACGAGATGATGCTATGATGTAGGTGTTGTACGGGTTGATGGTATGTTGCAAGTGTTGTACGAGTTGATGTTATAATGCAGGTATTGCACGAGTTGATGTTATAATGCAGGTGTTGTATGAGTTGAGGTTATAATGCAGGTGTTGTACGAGTTGACGTTATGCTGCAGGTGTTGTACGAGTTGATGTTATAATGCAGGTGTTGTATGAGTTGATGTTATTATGCAGGTGTTGTATGAGATGATGTTATAATGCAGGTGCTGTACGAGTTGATGTTTTGCTACAGGTGTTGTACGAGTTGATGTTATGCTGCAGGTGTTGTACGAGTTGATGTTATAATGCAGGTGTTGTACGAGTTGATGTTATAATGGATGTGTTTTACGAGTTCATGTTATGATGCAGGTGTTGTATGAGTTGATGTTATAATGCAGGTGTGGTATGACTGTTTGTGTTACAGATGGCGTAAGAGTTGGTGTTATGTTGTAGGTGATCATGAATGCTCGTTTTGTTTCTTGTTGTTGTATGCCTGTTCGTCATGTTGCAGGTGTACATTGTCTGTGGAATCTATACAGGATTTGCCGTACTTGCCGCTATCACTGTCATCCTTTTCCTCGACCGAATCAACCTCGACAAGGATGACAATAAGACTAGCAAAAAAGTGTCGCCCCGTCTTCTAATCTCGACATTTAAACACCTGATAGAATCCCACTACCAGAAGCTGCTTATCCCATTGACAATCTACAGCGGGGTGGAACAAGCTTTCATCACTGGAGACTTCACACGGGTGGGTTGCACAATTTTGTTTTTGCTTTGGGGAATGCTCGTTTGCTACTTTGCAAGCAACATGACTTATAACGCAATATATATGCATACGCCTACATGACACACGTCCTATAACGGGATACAAACCTACATGTACCATTCACAGCATGAACCTGCATCAGACATGTACCATCCACAGCATGAACCTGTATCAGACATGTTCCATCCACAGCATAACCCGGCATAAGACATGTACCACCCACAGCATGAACCTGCATCAGACATGTACCACCCACAGCATGAACCTGCATCAAACATGTACCTCCCACAGCATGAACCTGATTCAGACATGTACCACCCACAGCATGAACCTGCATCAGACATGTACCACCTACAGCATGAACCTACATCAGACACGTGCCACCCACAGCATGAACCTACGTCAGACATGTACCACCCACAGCATAAACCTGCATCAGACACGTGCCACCAAAACCATGAACCTGCATCAGATATGTACCACCCACAGCATGAACCTACATCAGACATGTACCTCCCACAGCATGAACCTACATCAGACATATACCACCCACAGCATGAACCTACATCAGACATATACCACCTACAGCATGAACCTACATCAGACATGTACCACCCACAGCATGAACCTGCATCAGACAGGTACCATCCACAGCATGAAACTGCATCAGACATGTACCATCCACAGCATAACCCGGCATAAGACATGTACCACCTACAGCATGAACCTGCATCAGACATGTACCACCCACAGCATGAACCTACATCAGACATGTACCATCCACAGCATGAACCTGCATCAGACATGTACCATCCACAGCATAACCCGGCATAAGACATGTACCACCCACAGCATGAACCTACATCAGACATGTACCACCCACAGCATGAACCTACATCAGACATGTACCACCCACAGCATGAACCTGCATCAGACATGTACCACCCACAGCATGAACCTGCATCAGACATGTACCACCCACAGCATGAACCTACATCAGACATGTACCATCCACAGCATGAACCTGCATCAGACATGTACCATCCACAGCATAACCCAGCATAAGACATGTACCACCCACAGCATGAACCTACATCAGACATGTACCACCCACAGCATGAACCTACATCAGACATGTACCACCCACAGCATGAACCTGCATCAGACATGTACCACCCACAGCATAAACCTGCATCAGACACGTGCCACCAAAACCATGAACCTGCATCAGATATGTACCACCCACAGCATGAACCTACATCAGACATGTACCTCCCACAGCATGAACCTACATCAGACATATACCACCCACAGCATGAACCTACATCAGACATATACCACCTACAGCATGAACCTACATCAGACATGTACCACCCACAGCATGAACCTGCATCAGACAGGTACCATCCACAGCATGAAACTGCATCAGACATGTACCATCCACAGCATAACCCGGCATAAGACATGTACCACCTACAGCATGAACCTGCATCAGACATGTACCACCCACAGCATGAACCTACATCAGACATGTACCATCCACAGCATGAACCTGCATCAGACATGTACCATCCACAGCATAACCCGGCATAAGACATGTACCACCCACAGCATGAACCTACATCAGACATGTACCACCCACAGCATGAACCTACATCAGACATGTACCACCCACAGCATGAACCTGCATCAGACATGTACCACCCACAGCATGAACCTACATCAGACATGTACCATCCACAGCATGAACCTGCATCAGACATGTACCATCCACAGCATAACCCAGCATAAGACATGTACCACCCACAGCATGAACCTACATCAGACATGTACCACCCACAGCATGAACCTACATCAGACATGTACCACCCACAGCATGAACCTGCATCAGACATGTACCACCCACAGCATGAACCTGCATCAGACATGTACCACCCACAGCATGAACCTGCATCAGACATGTACCTCCCATAGCATGAACCTGCATCAGACATGTACCACCCACAGCATGAACCTACATCAGACATGTACCTCCCACAGCATGAACCTGCATCAAACATGTACCACCCACAGCATGAACCTGCATCAGACATGTACCACCCACAGCATGAACCTACATCAGACACGTGCCACCCACAGCATGAACCTGCATCAGACATGTACCACCCACAGCATGAACCTGCATCAGACATGTACCTTCCATAGCATGAACCTGCATCAGACATGTACCACCCACAGCATGAACCTACATCAGACATGCACCACCCACAGCATGAACCTGCATCAGACAGGTACAATCCACAGCATGAACCTACATCAGACATGTACCACCCACAGCATGAACCTACATCAGACACGTGCCACCCACAGCATGAACCTACATCAGACATGTACCACCCACAGCATGAACCTGCATCAGATATGTACCATCCACAGCATAACCCGGCATAAGACATGTACCACCCACAGCATGAACCTACATCAGACATGTACCACCCACAGCATGAACCTACATCAGACATGTACCACCCACAGCATGAACCTGCATCAGACATGTACCACCCACAGCATGAACCTGCATCAGACATGTACCACCAACAGCATGAACCTGCATCAGACATGTACCTCCCATAGCATGAACCATGCATCAGACATGTACCACCCACAGCATGAACCTGCATCAGACATGTACCTCCCACAGCATGAACCTGCATCAGACATGTACCTCCCACAGCATGAACCTGCATCAGACATGTACCACCCACAGCATGAACCTGCATCAGACATGTACCACACACAGCATGAACCTGCATCAGACATGTACCTCCCACAGCATGAACCTGCATCAGACATGTACCACCCACAGCATGAACCTGCATCAGACATGTACCACCCACAGCATGAACCTACATCAGACACGTACCACCCACAGCATGAACCTACATCAGACATGTACCACCCACAGCATGAACCTACATCAGACATGTACCTCCCACAGCATGAACCTACATCAGACACGTGCCACCCACAGCATGAACCTACGTCAGACACGTGCCACCCACAGCATGAACCTACGTCAGACATGTACCACCTACAGCATAAACCTGCATCAGACACGTGCCACCAAAACCATGAACCTGCATCGGATATGTACCACCCACAGCATGAAGCATCAGAACCATGAACCTGCATCAGACATATACCACCCACAGCATGAACCTGCATCAGACATGTACCACCCACAGCATGAACCTGCATCAGACATGTACCACCCACAGCATGAACCTGCATCAGACATGTACCACCCACAGCATGAACCTGCATCAGACATGTACCACCCACAGCATGAACCTGCATCAGACATCAGACATGTACCACCCACAGCATGAACCTGCATCAGACATGTACCACCCACAGCATGAACCTACATCAGACATGTATGAACCTGCATCAGACATGTACCACCCACAGCATGAACCTGCATCAGACATGTACCACCAACAGCATGAACCTGCATCAGACATGTACCACCCACAGCAGGCAAACCTGCATCAGCACACGTGCCACCATACCACCCACAGCATGAACCTGCATCAGACATGTACCACCCACAGCATGAACCTGCATCAGACATGTACCACCCACAGCATGAACCATGCATCAGACATGTACCACCCACAGCATGAACCTGCATCAGACATGTACCACCCACAGCATGAACCTGCATCAGACATGTACCACCCACAGCATGAACCTGCATCAGACATGTACCACCCACAGCATGAACCTGCATCAGACATGTACCACCCACAGCATGCATCAGACCACCCACACCTACATCAGACACGTGCCACCCACAGCATGAACCTACGTCAGACATGTACCACCCACAGCATAAACCTGCATCAGACACGTGCCACCAAAACCATGAACCTGCATCAGATATGTACCACCCACAGCATGAACCTACATCAGACATATACAACCCACAGCATGTACCTACATCAGACATATACCACCCACAGCATGAACCTGCATCAGACATGTACCACCCACAGCATGAACCTGTATCAGACATATACCACCCACAGCATGAACCTGCATCAGACATGTACCACCCACAGCATGAACCTGCATCAGACATGTACCACCCACAGCATGAACCTACATCAGACATGTACCACCCACAGCATGAACCTACATCAGACATGTACCTCCCACAGCATGAACCTGCATCAGACATGTACCACCCACAGCATGAACCTGCATCAGACATGTACCACCCACAGCATGAACCTACATCAGACATGTACCACCCACAGCATGAACCTACATCAGGCATGTACCACCCACAGCATGAACCTGCATCAGACATGTACCACCCACAGCATGAACCTGCATCAGACATGTACCACCCACAGCATGAATCTGCATCACACATGTACCACCCACAGCATGAACCTGCATCAGACATGTACCACCCACAGCATGAACCTGCATCAGACATGTACCACTCTCAACATGAACCTGCATCAGACATGAACAGCTGCATCAGACATGTACCACCCACAGCATGAACCTGCATCAGACATGTGCCACTCCACAGCATGAACCTACATCAGACATGTGCCACTCTCAACATGAACCTTCATCAGACATGTACCACTCTCAACATGAACCTGCATCAGACATGTACCACCCACAGCATGAACCTACATCAGACATGTACCACCCACAGCATGAACCTGCATCAGACATGTGCCACTCTCAACATGAACCTGCATCAGACATGTGCCACTCTCAACATGAACCTGCATCAGACATGTGCCACTCTCAACATGAACCTGCATCAGACATGTGCCACTCTCAACATAAACCTACATCAGACATGTACCACCCACAGCATGAACCTGCATCAGACATGTACCACTCAGCATGAACCTGCATCAGACATGTGCCACTCAACATGAACCTGCATCACAGCATGAACCTGCATCAGACATGTACCACCCACAGCATGAACCTGCATCAGACATGTACCACCCACAGCATGAACCTGCATCAGACATGTGCCACTCTCAACATGAACCTGCATCAGACATGTACCACTCTCAGCATGAACCTGCATCAGACATGTACCACCCACAGCATGAACCTGCATCAGACATGTACCACCCACAGCATGAACCTACATCAGACATGTACCACCCACAGCATGAACCTGCATCAGACATGTGCCACTCTCAACATGAACCTGCACCAGACATGTGCCACTCTCAACATGAACCTGCATCAGACATGTGCCACTCTCAACATGAACCTGCATCAGACATGTGCCACTCTCAACATAAGCCTGCATCAGACATGTGCCACCCACAGCATGAACCTGCATCAGACATGTGCCACTCTCAACATGAACCTGCATCAGACATGTACCACCCACAGCATGAACCTGCATCAGACATGTGCCACTCTCAACATGAACCTGCATCAGACATGTACCACCCACAGCATGAACCTGCATCAGACATGTGCCACTCTCAACATGAACCTGCATCAGACATGTACCACCCACAACATGAACCTGCATCAGACATGTACCACTCTCAACATGAACCTGCATCAGACATGTGCCACTCTCAACATGAACCTGCATCAGACATGTACCACTCTCAACATGAACCTGCATCAGACATGTGCCACTCTCAACATGAACAGATGATATGCTCCATCGCTCCAACGTTCACAAATGAAAGCGACATACCACATTTTGATCCAGCTTACACATGTTCCGCTACGCAACATAAGGCAACGTAACGCATGTACCAACACACAACCATCGCTGTACACATCACACAGGTGTACATACCACAGAGATCAAGACATTATAAGACACGTAAAGCAACACACAATACTTGTGTATATGCATTGTAAACTAGTTGCTGACGTGGCCATAATCATTATTGTCTAATGTTACAGCCTCGAAAAGTCTTAAAGGACTTCATGTCAAAGTAACATGAACAATATTCAGTGTAGCTAAATTGTTTTTCAGTCCTACATCACGTGTTCAATGGGCATATCCAACGTGGGATACATCATGATCTGCTATGGAGTGGTAGATGCACTGTGTTCTTTCATATTTGGCCGCATGGTTCAATACGTTGGACACATTCCGTTCTTCATTCTGGGTATGTACGTGAGAATAAGAATACTACTGTATCTTATTACGTTCTGTCTGTGTCCCTGTCCACGCAATCGTCTTTGTTTACTTCCCTGCATTTGTCCCTACCTCCATGTGTGTCTGTGTTTGTGTCTCTGGTCATGCATCCATCTGTGTCTATGTCCCTGCCTCCATCTGGGTTTGTGTCTCTGGTCATGCATCCATCTGTGTCTATGTTCCCGGCTCCATCGGTGTTTGTGTCTCTGGTCATGCATCCATCTGTGTCTATGTCCCTGCCTCCATCTGGGTTTGTGTCTCTGGTCATGCATCCATCTGTGTCTATGTTCCCGGCTCCATCTGTATCTGTGTCTCTGGTCCTGCATTCGCCTGTGTCTATGTCCCTGCCTCCATCTGTGTCTGTATCCCTGCCTCCATCTGTGTCTGTATCCCTGCCTCCGCCTGTGTCGGTAGCTCTACCTCCATCTGTGTCTGTATCCCTGCCTCCATCTGTGTCTGTATCCCTGCCTCCGCCTGTGTCTGTATCTCTACCTGCATCTGTGTCTATGTCCCTGCCTCCATCTGTGTCGGTATCTCTACCTCCATCTGTGTCTATGTCCCTGCCTCCATTTGTGTCTGTGTCCTTGCCTCCATCTGTGTCGGTATCTCTACCTCCATCTGTTTCTTTATCCCTGCCACCATCTGTGTCTGTATCTCTGCCTCCATCTGTGTCTGTATCCCTGCCTCCATCTGTGTCTATAACCCTGCCTCCATCTGTGTATTTATCTCTACCTCCACCTGTGTCTGTATCCCTGCCTCCATCTGTGTCTGTATCCCTGCCTCCATCTGTGTCTGCATCCCTGCCTCCATCTGTGTCTGTATCCCTGCCTCCATCTGTGTCTGTATCCCTGCCTCCATCTGTGTATGTATCCCTGCCCCCATCTGTGTATGTATCCCTGCCTCCGCCTGTGTCTGCATCACTGCCTCCATCCGTGTACATGACCCTGCCTCCCTCTGTGCCTGTATCCCTGCCTCCATCTATGTCTTTATCCCTGCCTCCATCAGTGCCTTTATCCCTCCCTCCATCTGTGTCTGTATCTCTCCCTCCATCTGTGTCTGTATCCCTGCCTCCATCTGTGTCTATAACCCTGCCTCCATCTGTGTCTGCATCCCTGCCTCCATCTGTGTCTTTATCTCTACCTCCAACTGTGTCTGTATCCCTGCCTCCATCTGTGTCTGTATCCCTGCCTCCATCTGTGTCTGTATGCCTGCCTCCATCTGTGTCTTTATCCCTCCCTCCACCTGTGTCTTTATCTCTGCCACCATCTGTGTCTGTATCCCTGCCTCCATCTGTGTCTCTATCCCTGCCTCCATCTGTGTCTGCATCCCTGCCTCCACCTATGTCTTTATCCCTGCCTCCATCTGTGTCTACATCTCCACCTCCATCTGTGTCTGCATTCCTGCCTCCATCTGTGTATATATCCCTGCCTCCGCTTGTGTCGGTATCTCTACCTCCACCTGTGTATATGTCCCTGCCTCCACCTGTGTCTGTATCCCTGCCTCCATCTGTGTCTGTATCCCTGCCTCCATCTGTGTCTATAACTCTGCCTCCATCTTTGCCTATATTCCTGCCCCTATCTGTGTCTGCATCCCTGCCTCCGCCTGTGCCGGTATCTCTACCTCCATCTGTGTCTATAACCCTTCCTCCCTGTGTCTTTATCTCTACCTTCATCTGTGTCTGTATCCCTGCCTCCATCTGTGTCTGTATCCCTGCCTCAATCTGTGTCTATAACCCCTCCTCCATCTGTGTCTGTATCCCTGCCTCCATCTGTGTCTGTATCCCTGCCTCCATCTGTGTCTATAACCCTGCCTCCATCTTTGTCTATATCCATGCCCCCATCTGTGTCTGCATCACTGCCTCTGCCTGTGCCGGTATCTCTACCTCCCTCTGTGTCTATAACCCTGCCTCCATCTTTGTCTTTATCTCTACCTCCATCTCTGTCTGTATCCCTGCCTCCATCTGTGTCGGTATCCCTGCCTCCATCTGTGTCTATAACCCGGCCTCCACCTGTGTCTGCATCCCTGCCTCCATCTGTGTCTTTATCCCTGCCTCCATCTGTGTCTGTATCTCTACCTCCATCTGTGTCTGCATTCCTGCCTCCATCTGTGTCTGCATCCCTGCCTCCATCTGTGTCTTTATCTCTACCTCCATCTGTGTCTGTATCCCTCCCACCATCTGTGTCTGCATCCCTGCCTCCATCTGTGTATGTATCCCTGCCTCCATCTGTGTCGGTATCTCTACCTCCATCTGTGTCTGCATCCCTGCCTCCATCTGTGTATGTATCCCTGCCTCCGCCTGTGCCGGTATTTCTACCTCAATCTGTGTCGGTGTCCTTGCCTCCATCTGTGTCGGTATCTCTACCTCCATCTGTGTTTATATCCTTGCCTCCATCTGTGTTGGTATTTCTACCTCCGTCTGTGTCGGTATCTCTACCTCCATCTGTGTCTGTGTCCTTGCCTCCATCTGTGTCGGTATCTCTACCTCCATCTGTGTCTGTGTCCCTGCTTCCATCTGTGTCTGAATCCTGCTTCCATCTGTGTCTGTATCCTTGCCTCCATCTGTGTCGGTATCTCCACCTCCATCTGTGTCTGTGTCCTTGCCTCCATCTGTGTTTGTATCTCTACCTCCATCTGTGTCTGTGTCCTTGCCTCTATCTGTGTCGGTATCTCTACCTCCATCTGTGTCTGCATCCCTGCCTCCATCTGTGTCTGTATACCTGCCTCCATCTGTGTCGGTATCTCTACCTCCATCTGTGTCTGCATCCCTCATTCCTTCTGTGTCGGTATCTGTACCTCCATCTGTGTCTGTATCGCTGCCTCCATCTGTGTCGGTATCCCTGCCTCCATCTGTGTCTCTATCCCTGCCTCCATCTGTGTCTGTATACCTGCCTCCATCTGTGTCTATATCCCTACTCCATCTGTGTCTGTGTCCCTACCACAATCTGTGACTCTGTCCCTGCCTCCATCTGTGTCTATATCCCTGCATCCTCCTGTGTCTGTATCCCTGCTTCCATCTGTGTCTGTATCCCTGCCTCCATCTGTGTCGGTATCCCTGCCTCCATCTGTGTCTGTATCGCTGCTTCCATCTGTGCCTATATCCCTGCCTCCATCTGTGTCTGTGTCCTTGCCTCCATTTGTGTCGGTATCTCTACCTCCATCTGTGTCTATATCCCTGCCTCCATCTGTGTCTGTATCCCTGCCTCCATCTGTGTCTGTATCCCTGCTTTCATCTGAGTCTGAATCCTGCCTCCATCTGTGTCTGTATCCCTGCTTCCATCTGGGCCTGTATCCCTGCCTCCATCTGTGTCTGTATTCCTGCCACTATCTGTGTCTGTATCCCTGCTTCCATCTGTGTCTGTATCTCTACCTCCATCTGTGTCTGTGTCCCTACCACAATCTGTGACTGTGTCCCTGCCTCCATCAGTGTCTGTATCTCTACCTCCATCTGTGTCTATATCCTTGCCTCCATCTGTGTCGGTATTTCTACCTCCGTCTGTGTCGGTATCCCTACCTCCATCTGTGTCTGTGTCCCTGCTTCAATCTGTGTCTGTATCCTTGCCTCCATCTGTGTTGGTATCTCTACCTCCATCTGTGACTGTATCCTTGCCTCCATCTGTGTCAGTATCTCTACTCTCCATCTGTGTCTGTGTCCTTGCCTCCATCTGTGTCTGTCTCAGTATCTCTACCTCCATCTGTGTGTTCTGTGTCCTGCCACCATCTGTGTCCCTGCCTCCATCTGTGTCCTGTATCTCTCTCCTCCATCTGTGTGTCTGTATCCCTGCTCTCCATCTGTGTCTCTGTATCTCTACCTCCATCTGTGTCTCTCTACCTCCATCTGTGACTGTATCCTTTGCCTCCATCTGTGTTTTGTCCATCTCTGCCTCCATCTGTGTCTGTGTCCTTGCTGTGTCTCTCTATCTGTGTCTGTGTCGTATCTCTACCTCCATCTGTGTCTCTTTGTCCTTGCCTCCATCTGTGTCTGTCTGTCCATTCCTGTCCCTCCATCTGTGTCTGTATTCTACCTCCATCTGTGCTCCATCTGTGCATATTCCATTCCTTCTGTGTCTGTATCTGTACCTCCATCTGTGTCTGTATCGCTGCCTCCATCTGTGTCGGTATCCCTGCCTCCATCTGTGTCTCGATCCCTGCCTCCATCTGTGTCTGTATCCCTGCCTCCATCTGTGTCTATATCCCTACTTCCATCTGTGTCTGTGTTCCTACCACAATCTGTGTCTGTATCGTTGCCTCCATCTGTGTCTATATCCCTGCATCCTCCTGTGTCTGTATCCCTGCTTCCATCTGTGTCTGTATCCCTGCCTCCTTCTGTGTCGGTATCTCTACCTCCATCTGTGTCTGTGTTCCTGCTTCCATCTGTGTCTGAATCCTGCTTCCTCCTGTGTCTGTAGCCTTGCCTCCATCTGTGTTGGTATATCTACCTCCATCTGTGTCTGTATCCTTGCCTCCATCTGTCTTTGTATCTCTACCTCCATCTGTGTCTGTATCCTTGCCTCCATCTGTGTTGGTATCTCTACCTCCATCTGTGTCTATATCACTGCCTCCATCTGTGTCAGTATCTCTACCTCCATCTGTGTCTGTGTCCTTGCCTCCATCTGTGTCGGTATCTCCACCTCCATCTGTGTCTGTGTCCTTGCCTCCATCTGTGTTTGTATCTCTACCTCCATCTGTGTCTGTGTCCTTGCCTCTATCTGTGTCGGTATCTCTACCTCCATCTGTGTCTGCATCCCTGTCTCCATCTGTGTCTGTATCCCTGCCTCCATCTGTGTCGGTATCTCTACCTCCATCTGTGTCTGCATCCCTCATTCCTTCTGTGTCGGTATCTGTACCTCCATCTGTGTCTGTATCGCTGCCTCCATCTGTGTCGGTATCCCTGCCTCCATCTGTGTTTCTATCCCTGCCTCCATCTCTGTCTGTATCCCTGCCTCCATCTGGGCCTGTATCCCTACTTCCATC